ATCAAGACAAAGGAGATGATTGTGGACTACAGGAAAAAAAAGAGGACTGAGCACGCCCCCATTCTCATCGATGGGGCTGTAGTGGAACAGGTTAAGAGCTTCAAGTTCCTTGGTGTCCAAACACACCAAGACAGTTGTGAAGAGGGCACGACAAAACCTATTCCCCCTCAGATCCTCAAAAGGTTCTACAGCTGCACCATTGAGAGCATCCTGACTGGTTGCATCACCGCCTGGTATGGCAACTGCTCGGCCTCCGACCGCAAGGCACTACAGAGGGTAGTGCGTACAACCCAGTACATCACTGGGGTCAAGCTTCCTGCAATCCAGAACCTCTATACCAGGCGGTGTCAGAGGAAGGCCCTACAAATTGTCAAAGACTCAAGCCACCCTAGTCATAGACTGTTCTCTCTGCTACCGCACGGCAAGCAGTACCGGAGCGCCAAGTCTAGGTCCAAAAGGCTTCTCAACAGCTTCTACCCCCAAGCCATAAGACTTCTGAACAGCTAATCATGGCTACCCGGACTATTTGCACTGCCCCCCCCACCCCACCCCATCCCCCTCTTTTACGCTGCTGCTACTCTGTTTACTATTTATGCATAGTCACTTTAACTCTACCCACATGTACATATGACCTCAATTACCTCGACTAGCCGGTGCCCCCGCACATTGAATCTGTACCGGTACCCCACTGTATATAGCCTCCCTACTGCTATTTTATTTTACTGCTGCTCTTTAGCTATTTGCTTTTATTTTTCTTAATTAACACTTTTTTATTTTACATTTTTCTTTAAAAAACTGCATTGTTGGTTAAGGGCTTGTAAGTAAGCATTTCACTGTAATGTCTACACCTGTTGTATTCGGCGCATGTAGCAAATAAAATGTGATTTGATTTGATTTGAGAAGGAGTTAGCCTGCCGTGATGACAACCTGTCACTCGACCAGCTCATCAGCATGGCGATCCGGTTGGACAACCTCCTGCGGCCAGAGCCGATGGAGGTGGGCTCTGCAAGTTTGCCCGAGGCAGAGTGTAGGAGAAGGAGGAATCTGGGCCTCTGCTCCTATTGTGGAGAAAGGGGTCATTTCTCCCCGACCTGCCCTCTATCCACTAATAGGCGAGGAGGTGACAAGCCAGGGAATTCCCCTGCTCCAACCCCGGTAGGATGCAAGATCTCCTCTCCTTTTCTGTCAGCTCAACAAGTGTGTTTTCCCATTAAATTCCCTGAATACCTTAGCCCCTCACTCCCATTAGCTCTGATTGATTCCGGAGCTGCCGGGAATCTTTTAGATGGCCACTGCATTACTCATTCCTTTGGTTCCCCTACAGTCACCCATTCCGGTTCGAGCCCTGGATAATCGTCCAATAGGGACATGGCTCGTACATCATATCACTGTTCCCATTTCTCTGCTGACCCATGACACTCATTTAGAACAGATCACCTTTTTGATTATAAACACCCCCCACGCATCCCGTTGTTTTAGGTCTCCCCTGGTTGAGTTGGCATAACCCTGTTATTTCCTGGTCCAAGAGGAGACTGCTGGGTTGGTCGCAGGAGTGTCACGGGAGGTGTCTCGCGGTGTCTGTCAACACCACTATGGTGGAAAGTCCGGACCATGCCCCTCAAGTGGATTGACCGGATGAATAACAGGATCTGCATCAGGTTTTTTCTAAGACCCAGGCTTTCTAAGACCCCCCCCCCCCCCCCCATCATCCCTCCGTTCCGTATCATCGCGCCAGTGGTGTGGGACATGGACGCTGAATATGGCAGGCCCTGCGTACGGAACTCACACCTGCACAGTGCCCGGAGAACTGCGCCTACGTGCCCACAGGTGTGCGGGACCGCCTCCTTACCTGGACGCACACGGCGCCTGTGTCGGGTCATCCTGGGATAGGCCGTACCATCACCTGCCTGACTGAGAAGTACTGGTGGCCCACCTTGGCTAGGGACGTCCGGGATTACGTCACTTCCTGCTCCATCTGTGCCCAGTCAAAAACATCCAGACACCTCCCTTATGGAAAGCTCCTTCCCCTGCCGGTTCCACAACGACCCTGGTCTCGTCGTTGTGGACCGGTTTTCAAAAGCTTGTCGCCTCCTTCCTCTGCCTGGGCTCCCGTCGGCCATGCAAACCGTGGAGGCTCTTCACCTCATGCATTTGGAAAGCGTTCATGGAACGCCTGGGGGTCACGGTCAGTCTCACCTCTGGGTACCGTCCTCAAGCTAATGGGAAGGTGGAGAGGGTCAATCAGGAGGTGGGCAGGTTCCTGAGGTGTTACTGTCAGGACCGGCCGGGGGAGTGGGCGGATTTTCTCCCTTGGGCTGAGTACGCGCATAATTCCCTCCGTCACTCCTCCACTAACCTCACTCCTTTCCAGTGCGTGTTGGGGTATCAGCCGGCCCTGGCACCTTGGCATCCGAGCCAGACCGAGGCCCCTGAGGGCCGGCTGAAACCGGTGGATGAGTGGTTTCGGCGCGCTGAGGAGATCTGGAACGCTGCGCACACTCGTCTCCAGCGGGCCGTGCGTCGGCACAAGGAACAGGCCGACCGCCACCGCAGTGAGGCGCCTGTTTTCTCTCCAGGCGACCAGGTCTGCCTCTCCACCCTCCGCCTGCCCCTCCGCCTGCCCCACCGGAAGCTGAGCCTGCGGTTTGTGGGGCCGTTTAAAGTCATAAGGAGGGTTAATGAGGTAACGTACCGTTTGCAACTTCCTGCTGATTACCGCATTAACCCGACTTTTCATGTGTCTCTCCTCAGGCCAGTGGTGCCTGGTCCCCTCGCTGAGGCTGGACCCAGTGATGCCCCACCTCCTCCTCTGGACATCGAGGGAGGTCCGGCGTACTTGGTCCGTGAAGTCCTGGATTCGAGGCATCGGACGGTGCGTCTCCAGTACCTGATTGACTGGGAGGGGTACGCCCAGAGGAGTGGAGCTGGGTTCCTGCGGTGGACATCCTGGACGCTTTGCTGACCAGGGATTTTCCCCGTCGGCGCACTGACCGACCCGCACCGCGTCCCTGTGGTCGTCCCCGAGGCCAGTGTCGTCCCGCTTTTGGTGCAGCGCATCGGTCTGTCACGGTTCCCCCCGGTACTGCTGCTCATTGCATTCACCAGCTCCGGAGGTCTACGTCACCGGCCTTCTAGGTGTCACTGAACTAGACCATTACCACCAACCCCGGACTGTCTTGTCTCATTACGCACACCTGGTTCCCATTCCCCCTGATTAGTATGTGTATATATGTGCCCTCTGTTCCCCATTGTCCTTGTCGATAATTGTCCCATGTCCCTTGGTCTCGTGAGTACCGTGTATTGTGCTCTTGTTGTTTACGGGTCTCGTCCCGTGTATTGTGTAGAAGTTACACCTCAGTCTTTGTTTGGGTTACATCCCTTTGATATATACAGTGGGGAGAACAAGTATTTGATACACTGCCGATTTTGCAGGTTTTCCTACTTACAAAGCATGTAGAAGTCTGTAATTTTTTATCATAGGTACACTTCAACTGTGAGAGACGGAATCTAAAACAAAAATCCAGAAAATCACATTGTATGATTTTTAAGTAATTAATTTGCATTTTATTGCATGACATAAGTATTTGATACATCAGAAATAAAAACACGCACAAACCACAGGGATGCTGGCCGATGGTTACTCCAATGCTTCCTCCCACAGTTGTGTCATGTTGGCTGGATGTCCTTTGGGTGGTGGACCATTCTTGATACACACGGGAAACTGTTTAGCGTGAAAAACCCATCAGCGTTGCAGTTCTTGACACAAACCGGTGCACCTGGCACCTACTACCCGTTCAAAGGCACTTAAATATTTTGTCTTGCCCATTCACATCCTGAATGGCACACATACACAATCCATGTCTCAATTGTATCATGGCTTAAAAATCCTTCTTTAACCTGTATCCTACCCTTCATCTACACTGATTGAAGTGGATTTAACAAGGGACATCAATAAGGGATCATAGCTTTCACCTGGATTCACCTATTCAGTCGATGTCATGGAAAGAGCAGGTGTTCATAATGTTTTATACACTCTGTGTAAAACAAGTCTACAGATATCTTGCCACAGCTTCCGGGTATAAGAACAACACCAAAACACATGTAAAACAGTCTCCGGTTGTTAATTACACAAGGTACAAGAAACAATGTCTTTTAAAAACGTTTTAAGATCATGTTTAGTAGGGGAAGCACTTGTGGATCAATTTATATGAAACGTCTTTAATCTTAAAAACTTCTGAGAAAGAGACCAAATATTTCCCATGAATATTTCTTAAAAAGACCATTCCAGAAAGATATGACATATGGGACTGAAACATCATATTGAAATAAGGCACGTATTTTCCTATTGTTTTTAAAAACAGTAGGAGAGACTCTACTCCATCTTGTCTTGCATTGTGAAACCCTCCCTATGCTCTCTGTCCAGTAGCGGAATGAGTTTGCATGAAGATAATGTACAGCATAATGAAATACGTCACAATGTAAACAGGGCATCACACTAATTATCTTAGGAGACCCCCAGGAGGGTGCACGCTTTGTTCTAGCCCAGCATTCAACTAGCAGGAGAACAGTTCATGGTATTTGTTATTCAAAGGTATGTAGCCCAATAGAGAAATCACCCAAACAAAGATAGTGTAAATATAATACAATTATGCAATACTGAAAATCTAATCAGAGTTTATTTGTTATGTGCACAGGATACAACATGTGTAAACATTGCAGTGAAATGCTTGCTTACAAGCTCTTCCTCAACAATGCAGTTGTACTAAGTAATATAAAAGAAATACAAAAATAATAAAAGTACACAAAATAATAAAATTAATGCACACGAGAATATACACTATAAACAAGGTCAATATCAGTACCAATCAATGAAAGGGATACTGGTGGCAGGGTTAAAGTCACTGAGCAGCAGGATAAATATAATAAATAGTCGCATAAGTGAATATGGTGATTTTGTGTGTGGTTGTGTTTGTGTAGTGTGTGAGTGGGTCTGTGTATGAGCTGTGTGTGTGTGTGTGGGGGGGTACTTCCACAGAATAATCCATATAATTATGTTGTATATTCTTAATTGTTTTCAAGTTTTTCAGTACAAAAGTAAAGCTTATGAGCCTGTGTATGCACAGAATTATCCACCATATCACAGCACGTTTTAAAACAATATTACATTAAAAAAAAAATCTAAGGTACTTATGATTTAGAATTCTCTATATTAAAACACACATTTTTTACAGTTCCATCTCCTTGATCTGAGGGCTTTGGGTTGCTCCATTTGTTTGTGGGATGACTTGAATTTCAGGAGCCCCTTCTGTTTTAGTGTTTGTTGTTGTCGTCGTCGTCTCTGTTGCCATGGGTTCCTCAACGACATACTTTGTGAATCCAATGTTAAAAAGTCCTAGAAAAACAGGCATTTTTTACCATGTGGAACATATAACATTTCCTACAATTTGAGAATATATTAGACATCCCACTGGGCACACACTGGTTGAATCAACGTTGTTTCCACGTCATTTCAATGAAATTAAGTTGAACCAACGTGGAATAGACATTGAATTGTGGGATAGGCCTTATAATTGTGCTTTTTTGTCATTGTGCTCTTTCATTGGCTGAAGTCTTTTTTATAGGCATGTCACAGAAATCACACTATGTAGGATATAAAATATTACCATTTCCCCTTCTTCTTCTGGATTGTTTTTCTTCATTGCTTGATTTTGATCTGCTGCTCTCCACAGATTGATCAGAGTCTTCATTTTCTGTAATGATCAAAACTATGATAATTTCTGAATAATTACTTGTGAAAAGTTTAAGATTTAGTGGCAGACATACATAAACAGGGGTGCACAACTCAAGTCCTTGAGGGCTGCAGGTTATTTACTGGTTTTTGTTTTTTCTGATCTAGACCTGAAAAACCACGTTTGGTTAATACCAACTGATCCAAGTGCCAGGGAGAAAGGAAAACCAACAGAGCGAAATTCCAGTTGAGGACTTGAGTTGTGCACACCTGCCATAAACCAAAGATGACCAAACATGCAAAGTCATGAGAAGATCCTAAACAGTGAGAGCCGAGAGGTGTGCTGGTCTCTGGTTACCTTTCTTCCAGAGTATGTGAGCCCTCCTCAGCTTGATTACAAAGAACGTAACGACCACCAGCAGACCAAGGATGAGGCATGTCACGAGGAAGATGAGCAATGGCGCACTTCCTCCATTTCCTTTCTGTCTCTCCGTCTCATCGAAGAAGCTTCCTGTGAATGAGACCATCAGTGCAACTTTAGCCTCTTCTACTGTAGCCTTATATCCATGTCTGGCTTACACAGACCCTAAACATGACTCACTTAACCAGATCTCTATGCACTTCGGAAAAATAGTAAGACTGACTTACCTCTAGCATTAGTGGAGTTGGTTCCTGTGCCATTATGAGGTGTGTTCTCTGTTGTCTGGGACACTGACGACCAATCTACAGGGAATTACAGGGTAATGAATGAATGATTGCATCATACAGCTATTCTAGACAGTACCTACAGTCACCTTGTTCAGGAGGATATGGAGTGTATTTGTGGATAAAACAATAGTGATTCAATTCAATTGATACTATAATAAAATAATATTGGATGCTGCTATGATGGACATCTGTAGAAGGGTTGAATATTTTCCCGGTATTTTACAAATGTTCCATCCTGAGAACAAACCACTTTTCTCCCGGGTCACCCGGTATTTCCCACCAAAACAGGAAGTGTCATTCAAAAGCATTCTAAAGCATATAAAAATGTATGGATTTGATTAGAGCTTTGATCAGCATGAAAATTCAAACCTGATGCTACCTGAGCCTGATGAGCCATATATTAAATACATCTTATGAGCCTTACATTAGCGACATTTAATGAGCCCAAGCCCAAAAAAGCCCAAATGATTGTGCCATTATCCAATACATACAGTGGGGGAAAAAAGTATTTAGTCAGCCACCAATTGTACCTATGATGAAAATTACAGGCCTCTCTCATCTTTTTAAGTGGGAGAACTTGCACAATTGGTGGCTGACTAAATACTTTTTTCCCCCACTGTATATGCTCTCTTGGTTAAATTAATTAATCTAGCTCCAAGAGACTAATAGAGTGTGAACTCTATTACTGTATTGTACGGACTGGAATTACGCACATCGTTCCAACCATGATAAAGCAGAAGAGAACATGCGATTCTGGTGCAGCACATGCAGCCTACAAAGTTACAAGTATAGGCTAGCGAATTTGATTTTAATTTTGAAATATAATAGTGCCTATTTGTATAATTAGTTGGCTGACGCATACAGTGCATTCGGAAAGTATTCAGACCCCTTCACTTTTTACATATTTTGTTACGTTACAGCCTTATTCTAAAACTGATTAAATAGTTTTTTCCTTCATCAATCTACACACAATACCCCATAATGACAAAGCAAAAACAGGTTTTTTGAAAATGTTGCTAATTTATTACAAATAAAAAACTGAAATATCACATTTACGTAAGTATTCAGACCCTTTACTCAGTACTTTGTTGAAGCACCTTTGGCAGCGATTACAGCCTCGAGTCTTCTTGGGTATGACTTGGCACACCTGTATTTGGGGAGTTTCTCCCATTATTCTCTGTGAATCCTCTCAAGCTCTGTCAGGTTGGATGGGGAGGGTCGCTGCACAGCTATTTTCAGGTCTCTCCAGAGATGTTTGATCGGGTTCAAGTCCGGGCTCTGGCTGGGCCACTCAAGGACATTCAGAGACTTGTCCCAAAGCCACTCCTGCGTTGTCTTGGCTGTGTGCTTAGGGTGGTTGCCCTGTTGGAAGGTAAACCTTTGCCCCAGTCTGAGGTTCTGAGCGCTCTGGAGGAGGTTTTCATCAAGGATCTCTCTGTACTTTACTCCGTTCATCTTTCCCTCTATCCTGACTAGTCTCCCAGTCCCTGCTGAAAAACATCCCTACATAATGATGCTTCCACCACCATGCTTCACCGTAGGGATGGTACCAGGTTTCCTCCAGACAGGATGCTTGGCATTCAGGCCAAAGAGTTCAATCTTGATTTCATCAGACCAGAGAACCTTTTGGCAAACTCCAAGCGGGCTGTCATGTTCCTTTTACTGAGGAGTGGATTCCGTCTGGCCACTCTATCATAAAGTCCTGATTGGTGGAGTGCTGCAGAGATGGTTGTCCTTCTGGAAGGTTCTCTCATCTCCACAGAGGAACTCTGGAGCTCTGTCAGAGTGACCATCGGGTTCTTGGTCACCTCCCTGACCAAGGGCCTTCTCCCCCGATTGCTCAGTTTGGCCGGGGGCCAGCTATAGGAAGAGTCTTGGTGGTTCCAAACTTATTCCATTTAAGAATGATGGAGGCCACTGTGTTCTTGGGGACCTTCAATGGTGCAGAATGTTTTTGGTACCCTTCCCCAGATCTGTGCCTCGACACAATCCTGTCTTGGAGCTCTACAGACAATTCCTTCGACCTCATGACTTGCTTTTTGCTCTGACATGCACTGTCAACTGTGGGACCTTATATAGACAGGTGTGTGCCTTTCCAAATCATGTCCAATCAATTGAATTTACCACACGTGGACTCCAATCAAGTTGTAGATACATCTCAAGGATGATCAATGGAAACAGGATGCACAATTTCGAGTCTCATAGCAAAGGGTCTGAATACTTATGTAAATAACGTATTTCTGTTTTTCTAAAAACTTGTTTTCACTTTGTCATTATGGGTTATTGTGTGTAGATTGATGAGGAGAAACATTTATTTAATAAATTTTAGAATACGGCTGTAACATAACAAAATGTGGAAAAAAAATCAAGGGGTCTGAATACTTTCCGAATGCATGAATGTATATAGGGCTACCTTTCATTATATTTTCCCTAATGTTATTAGCCTACCTCTTTCTCTCTCTATTGTTGCGTCATTCCTTCCTCGCTTTCAACAGTTAAATTAAATACGTTTTGTTGTCCTTATCGTCATCATTCAAATGACATCCCTGAATAATATAGGACTAGAATTAGATGCAGAAGGCTTTCACTTCTCTTCACGAAGATTGAATAGTTATGGGTCTGAATAAATGACTGCTACCATCTACCGCCATCACACGTTCACTCTTTTTTCAAACTACATTACTCATGAGTTCTATTGGCTGCTTAACATTCAGCAAAATAGAGCTTGCGTCCCTCTTCGAATAGTTTATTGGTATAAGAAATGCAACAAAAATAAAAATGTCCAGCAAGCTTTTCTAGATTTTCCTGCATGGGACTCCAAGAGCTAAGGAGTGTTTTTTTAAGGAGGCCAGTGGAACACAGGTGTTTGCGTATTGTGCAAGAGACAGAGGCTATAAGTTAGAAGCTTATTATGCATAACCCAGCATTAATTAGCTAAATATAAAGGCTAATACTGCATTGAATGTATTACCTGAAAGAGGTAGGCTAGGAGATCTATATATAGGGCTATATATCAAACTAGAACAGGATCATCTATTTTGGATGCAATTTGAATGGAGTTGATGGAAAGAGAGAAAGACTGTGAGAGAGTGCTCGCGCGTGCACTGATTTAAAGCTATGATATTTGAGTGATAGGCTTTTTTAAAACTCTACAGCTGCAATTAAAAAATATTTACAATTAAAAAACAAGGTGAACCCGAAAACCAGATGGAGGTCTTAAAATAGACGCACATTCGGTGTTTATATTACTGTAGCATAGGCTATGCTGCAACAAATATTCAGTGCCTTGCAAAAGTATTCTTCCCCCTTGGCGTTTTTCCTATTTTGTTGCATTACAACCTGTAATTTAAATTGATTTTTATTTGGATTTCATGTAATGGACATACAAAATAGTCCAAATTGGTGAAGTGAAATGAAAAAATAATGGAAAAGTGTTTTGTGCATACAGTGAGGGAAAAAAGTATTTGATCCCCCTGCTGATTTTGTACGTTTGCCCACTGACAAAGACATGATCAGTCTATTATGTTAATGGTAGGTTTATTTGAACAGTGAGAGACAGAATAACAACAACAAAATCCAGAAAAACGCATGTAAAAAATGTTATAAATTGATTTGCATTTTAATGAGGGAAATAAGTATTTGACCCCTCTGCAAAACATGACTTAGTAGTTGGTGGCAAAACCCTTGTTGGCATTCACAGAGGTCAGACGTTTCTTGTAGTTGGCCACCAGCTTTGCACACATCTCAGGAGGGATTTTGTCCCACTCCTCTTTGCAGATCTTCTCCAAGTCATTAAGGTTTCGAGCCTGACGTTTGGCAACTCGAACCTTCAGCTCCCTTCACAGATTTTCTATGGGATTAAGGTCTGGAGACTGGCTAGGCCACTCCAGGACCTTAATGTGCTTCTTCTTGAGCCACTCCTTTGTTGCCTTGGCCGTGTGTTTTGGGTCATTGTCATGCTGGAATACCCATCCACGACCCATTTTCAATGCCCTGGCTGAGGGAAGGAGGTTCTCACCCAAGATTTGACGGTACATGGCGCCGTCCATCGTCCCTTTGATGTGGTGAAGTTGTCCTGTCCCCTTAGCAGAAAAACACCCCCAAAGCATAATGTTTCCACCTCCATGTTTGACGGTGGGGATGGTGTTCTTGGGGTCATAGGCAGCATTCCTCCTACTCCAAACACGGCGAGTTGAGTTGATGCCAAAGAGCTCCATTTTGGTCTCATCTGACCACAACACTTTAACCCAGTTCTCCTCTGAATCATTCAGATGTTCATTGGCAAACTTCAGACGGCCCTGTATATGTGCTTTCTTGAGCAGGGGGACCTTGCGGGCGCTGCACGATTTCAGTCCTTCACAGCGTAGTGTGTTACCAATTGTTTTCTTGGTGACTATGGTCCCAGCTGCCTTGAGATCATTGACAAGATCCTCCTGTGTAGTTCTGGGCTAATTCCTCACCGTTCTCATGATCATTGCAACTCCACGAGGTGAGATCTTGCATGGAGCCCCAGGCCGAGGGAGATTGACAGTTATTTTGTGTTTCTTCCATTTGCGAATTATCGCACCAACTGTTGTCACCTTCTCACCAAGCTGCTTGGCGATGGTCTTGTAGCCCATTCCAGCCTTGCGTAGGTCTACAATCTTGTCCCTGACATCCTTGGAGAGCTCTTTGGTCTTGGCCATGGTGGAGAGTTTGGAATCTGATTGATTGATTGCTTCTGTGGACAGGTGTCTTTTATACAGGTAACAAGCTGAGATTAGGAGCACTCCCTTTAAGAGTGTGCTCCTAATATCAGCCTGTTACATGTATAAAAGACACCTGGGAGCCAGAAATCTTTCTGATTGATAGGGGGTCAAATACTTATTTCCCTCATTAAAATGAAAATCAATTTATAACATTTTTGACATGAGTTTTTCTGGATTTTTTTGTTGTTATTCTGTCTCGCACTGTTAAAATAAACCTACCATTAAAATTATAGACTGATCATTTCTTTGTCAGTGGGCAAACGTACAAAATCAGCATGGGATCAAATACCTTTTTCCCTCACTGTATGTATTCACCCACTTTGCTATGAAGCCCCTAAATAAGATCTGGTGCAACCAATTACCTTCAGAAGTCACATAATTAGTTAAATAAAGTCCACCTGTGTGCATTCTAAGTGTCACATGATCTCAGTATATATACACCTGTTCTGAAAGGCCCCAGAGTCTGCAACACCACTAAGCAAGGGGCACCACCAAGCAAGCGGCACCATGAAGACCAAGGAGCTCTCCAAACAGGTCAGGGACAAAGCTGTGAAGAAGTACAGATCAGGGTTGGGTTCTAAAAAAATATCCGAAACCTTGAACATCCCACGGAGCACCATTAAATCCATTATTAAAAAATGGAAAGAATATGGCACCACAACAAACCTGCCAAGAGAGGGCCGCCCACCAAAACTCCCAGACCAGGCAAGGAGGGCATTATTCAGAGAGGCAACAAAGAGACCAAAGATAACCCTGAAGGAGCTGCAAAGCTCCACAGCGGAGATTGGAGTATCTGTCCATAGGACCACTTTAAGCCATACACTCCACAGAGCTGGGCTTTATGGAAGAGTGGCCAGAAAAAAGCCATTGCTTAAAGAAAAAAATAAGCAAACATGTTTGGTTTTCGCCTAAAGGCATGTGGGAGACTCCCCAAACATATGGAAGAAGGTACTCTGGTCAGATGAGACTAAAATTGAGCTTTTTGGCCATCAAGGAAAACACTATGTCTGGCACAAACCCAACACCTCTCATCACCCCGAGAACACCATCCCCACTGTGAAGCATGGTGGTGGCAGCATCATGCTGTGGGATGTTTTTAATCAGCAGGGACTGGGAAACTGGTCAAAATTGAATGAATGATGGATTGCGCTAAATACAGGGATATTCTTGAGGGAAACCTGTTTCAGTCTTCCAGAGATTTGAGACTGGGACGGAGGTTCACCTTCCAGCAGGACAATAACCCTAAGCATACTGCTAAAGCAACACTTTAGTGGTTTAAGGGGAAACATTTAAATGTCTTGGAATGGCCTAGTCAAAGCCCAGACCTCAATCCAATTGAGAATCTGTGGTATGACTTAAAGATTGCTGTACACCAGCGGAAAACATCCAACTTGAAGGAGCTGGAGCAGTTTTGCCCTGAAGAATGGGCAAAAATCCCAGTGGCTAGATGTGCAAAGCTTATAGAGACATACCCCAAGAGACTTGCAGCTGTAATTGCTGCAAAAGGTGGCTCTACAAAGTATTGACTTTGGGGGGGTGAATAGTTACGCACGCTCAAGTTGTGTTTTTTAGTCTTATTTCTTGTTTTTTTTTCACAATAAAATATATTTTGCATCTTCAGAGTGGTAGGCATGTTGTGTAAATCAAATGATACAAACCCCCCCAAAATCAATTTTAATTCCAAGTTGTAAGGCAACAAAATAGGAAAAATGCCAAGGGGGGTGAATACTTTCGCAAGCCACTGTAGGCCTACCGGTCACAAGAAAAAAAGTTAGCATGATGAGATGATAGGTCTACTACATGCATTGTGAACTGCTCTCCATACTGAGATGGGCTGTCTGTCCCCACCCTGAGCCTTGATTCATCATGCAGAGGGTGTAGAGAAGCCAGATTTAGACATCACATGTAATTTAACAGTTCCATTTCACGCCATGCTGTTCATATAAATAATTTCTTTTTTTTCGCAGTTATTTATCCCGGGAAAAGGGAGTGGTTTTTGGTCGGTAAATCCGGGTAAATCTCGGTAACGGTGTCCCCGCCATTCAACCCTAATCTGTAGTGATGGAAAGTCACCACTAGGTGGAGAAGCAGCCCACTGAATAACTTGTAAGACTAGATGGCAATGATACTGTGAATTTCTTCCCATACAATACTCGCTATGGTTAGTCTTGTTCTTACCAGCAGTACTGGTTGAGTTGCTGCTGCTGTCATTAGCAAGTGTGTACCCTGTAGCTTCGAACACTGAGTGGGCTGGCTGACCTGGAGGAAAATATATTCGACAGACATTGATAAATCCAATGAGGAAATGCATTTGTTGATTCATTACAAACTAAATAGACTTCTAGTTGTTGATGTGTGGTTTTATTGCATTGATATTACAGTACAGTGTATGTCATTTTCATTCACTGATTGTACCACAGATGAAAATGTTCTAATTTAAGTCAATATACTGTATATATAACAATAAAATGACAAACTCTGGGTACCTTAAATTAACAAAACAAAAAAGAATAAAATGCCTGAAACTTTGACTGAGGTTTACAATTGAGGACATATATGGCTAATATTGCTATTCGCTTCCATTTCAGGAAACAGACTTGGTGGTATGAGAACCAAGTGCTTTTGTTTTGCGCCTAAGCAGTTTTCACAAAACATGTTGAAAACCAACTCGCAAAACATTTGTAGATGTAACCTCAGGGCACCATGGCTGTTAATAATTTTTACTTACTGTGAGTGCTGAGTTGTGAGTCAGGGGTTGATGCTGGTGATCCCTTTGTATTGGGCCAATCTAAGGCTGTAGCTGTTGGTGTTTCTGTTGACACCTGTGTACTAGGCCAACGGGAGACTGTTGTTGTTGGTACCTCTGTTGGACCTTCTGTACTGGGCCAATGAGAGGTTCCCGCAGTGGAGTGTGATTCCTCAGGGGCTATAAGATAAAAGGGAATTCCAGTTATTGATGTTTGTGTGGTAGACATATCCTAGTGTGCCATGACCCTACCGTTCTCATGGCATATTTTAAACCAGTGAGAAAGTACCCACAGTGTGACTGTGCATTGAAACCACAAATGTGCACACTTTCCACTTTACAATGTTCCTCAAATAGACCACTGCAAGCAGAACTACATTTCAAATAAAGGCAGACCTGTTATTTTAAATTCTTTGTTGGATATTTCCACATTACTATCAAGGAGGTAATCTGAGTTTTATGTCATAGTATTGTCATTTATCATACCCTTCTAAATTCAACCTCCCATATCTTGGATACCACCTCGACAACTAATCAAGTGAAAGGTCAAAATTGTGAACAATAAACTTGGGACTTACGATTCTGTCCAATTTTGATGGAATTCATCAGAGATGAATTGTGTAAGGCTGGATGGCGAACGATGCATTTCACTGTGACTCTCCTCTTGTGGGACTGAACATGCAAGATATCCAGGGACGAATATGTGTTTTTTTCCAAAAGATACTGAGGCTGAGCTAAATAACAAGAGAAAGGTTCAATTCACTTTTGTCAAAATGTCATATGTAACAGAACATCAACAACAACCATCATTCTTCTTCTTATAATACTGACCTGCACTGCCCTTTACAGGGAGAATACAGACATTTCACTTCCCTTTATTTTGGATGAGATAAAGTGGAATGTGTGGGGGATTTGTTTTTGAGGGGGAAGTCTAAACTGTTTTAAGGCCTTTCCCTTGGTTATATCTCATCACAACATCCTCAGTCTCCTACTACTCTATTTTGACTTATCTTGTGTTTTTATTTTCCACAGTCCATGACAATGGTTGTTATCATTGGTTAAATATATTGAATAATGTAAGTGAACGGCAGGGCGGGGCAGGGAAGCAAACCCAGGTCACTGCTGTGAAAGGCAAACACCCTATGCACCGCGCCAATAGGGTTAACCCACTTGGTGTGAAATTGTAACGTGCCTCATATTGCGAGGATTGCTACACTGCCCCTTCCGAACGGGAAGGCAAGTCTCCGAGCTTCAACCTACCGCTAACCCCTCACACGTCTGACCGTGCGTTCCGATGGCCTCACGGCCACCATTGCACTTCTGACACCAATGTAGTGTCAGAGGCTATGCTCTGCCAGGAAGTCTTGTTAAGTGTTAGTTGTGCACAGGTGTGGAAACCAGGGTGTGGCAGCTGGCAGAGCCGTGAGGCTGCTGGAGTTTGGTGGCCCTTTGGTTTGGTTTGAATCTTTAGTTTTTGGCATGCAATGTTTTGTTGTCATTTTTGTATATACTATTATTTGTTGGTCATGCACCATTTTTTAACATAACTCACTTGGGCTGGCCAACCAAGGAGTCAAGACAGAGCTGGCCCTGAACTCGGGTAAGCTTGCTGTCTCCTGGGGCACATGCATTCAACACCTTCTCACATTCATGCACACGTTAAATAAGGTTACAGACCCTTTAGCTAGGCCTAGGAGCCCTAGAAATAGCAAGTGTAGAAAAATCAGTAGGTTTCGATCATAGGTTTAGATCGTAACATAATCCTTTGCCATGAAATCTACTAAATAAATCTAGAATAAAGGACACTTACCATCAATTTCTAACCCACTCCCCAAAAGCCATGAGATTTTGGGAGGATGTCTATTTCCCACTGCTGAACATTTGATGGCAGACTTTCCATTGTGTTCTGTCATCTCCAATTTTGGCATACCTTGAGAATGACAAAAAGAGTGAGGTTATGATTTTGGGATTCAACTTCATTAGTTGTAAGTGGGAATGGGGCAAGCACTACCTCCTGATCCAATATGAATATCCGGTCACACTTTATTTGGATAGTTTCAGATTGATGATCTACAGATGGTCATACTATCAACAAACTATGTTGATAAGCAACTGCTTGATAAAGGTTAGGATTAGAGTTAGTGTTATGGTTAGGATAAGGGTTAGTGGATAGTTAGTTGAACTGTTGTTGACAGTTATTGAACATGTACAAACCATTTACTTGGGACTACCCACATAAAGTGTTACCGAATATTCTACTAGCAACGGTCGTAAAAATTGTTAAAAGGTTTTGAAAACAATGATAATGAATGCAGAAGTTGGACCATGGATGAAGATACTCCAAACTTTTGGATTTATTTTAATCCATCAGGTATTGAATGAAGTATAGCACATAAAAATGTTTACTGGCACGGCGAAGTAAAATGTCCCTTTTTTTGTTCTTCTTAGAATGCACTCATATATACATTTTCTAATGGTATCAGGTATTTATTTTATATTGTGTTAAAATAAAGAAAATTATATGTGCCTCATTTGCATATATCTACTGGGTGTATTTGCATTTATGAAGACATTAAAATAAAGGGGTGGAAAGCAATCATTTTGCCTCAAACACAATAAATAGATGGCTGAAAAAGACAGATAATCAAGTGGGCTGGGCATGCGCGTTGACAATTCTACTCAGTAAAGACGAAGGCTGTGTGCTTTCTTAATCACTATAGACAACAATGCAGTGACAATATGTCATACTTACCCAAAACTGTCACGGTAATAAACTTCACAACAGGCACTTTTGTGTGATGTAAACATGTGTAGAGGCCTCCATCTTTGAAGGTGACATCAGACACACTGACTGAAAAATCGGACTCGGACAAGTTGATTATCTTGTAGCGCTTGTCCCTCAGGGCTGTTAGTGAAGATAGGGGAGAGAGAATGCATGTCACAAGATGACTCAACTACTTTAGTTCATAACAAAGATATTACTATATGAGTAGGAACAAACATTTTTACTTGTATCACGTACAACTATTCTAGCCATACAGCTGTCAATATGAATAAAATCACATTTCCCTAAACTACCTATAAGTCCTGTATTGCTCTTTTAGTGGGCTTCCAGTCTACTTTCAAATGGAGATACTGCTTTGTTTCAGTATATAAAATACATCATAATGAATGTCTATAGGGTGGTATTATAATATCCTCACCCTTATGGTCATTGAAAAACATCACATGCCCATTAGGATTCTTCCATTCCACGTGGCTCCTGTGGGCATTTCGAATGCGACACTTAATGGTTAGAGTCTCACCCTCCATCACGGTCATATGTTGCACCGCAACGGATCCTGCAATGGCAAATACCAATGAGTTAGTATAGGACATACTTTGATTGACATGACATACAGTTGAAGTCGGAAGTTTACATACACTTAGGTTGGAGTCATTAAAACTCGTTTTTCAACCACCACAAATTTCTTGTTAACAAACTATAGTTTTGGCAAGTCGGTTAGGACATCTACTTTGTGCATGACACAAGTAATTTTTCCAACAATTGTTTACAGACAGATTATTTCACTTATAATTCACTGTATAACAATTCCAGTGGGTCAGAAGTTTACATACACTAAGTTGACTGTGCCTTTAAACAGCTTGGAAAATTCCAGAAAATGATGTCATGGCTTTAGAAACTTCTGATAGGCTAATTGACATCATTTGAGTCAATTGGAGGTGTACCTGTGGATGTATTTCAAGGCCTACCTTCAAACTCAGTGCCTCTTTGCTTGATATTATGGGAAAATCAAAAAATCAGCCAAGACCTCAGAAAAAAAATTGTAGACCTCCACAAGTCTAGTTCATCCTTGGGAGCAATTTCCAAACGCATGAAGGTACCACGTTCATCTGTACAAACAATAGTACGCAAGTATAAACACCATGGGACCATGCAGCCGTCATACCGCTCAGGAAGGAGACGTGTTCTGTCTCCTAGAAATGAACGTACTTTGGTGCGAAAAGTGCAAATCAATCCCAGAACAACAGCAAAGGACCTTGTCAAGATGCTGGAGGAAACAGGTCCAAAAGTATCTATATCCACAGTAAAACGAGTCCTATATCGACATAACCTGAAAGGCCGCTCAGCAAGGAAGAAGCCACTGCTCCAAAACCGCCATAAAAAAGCCAGACTACGGTTTGCAACTGCACATGGGACAAATATCGTACTTTTTGGAGAAATGTCCTCTGGTCTGATGAAACAAAACTAGAACTATTTGGCTATAATGACCAAGGGGGTAATTTGCAAGCCGAAGAACACCATCCCAACCGTGAAGCACGGGGGTGGCAGCATCATGCTGTGGGGGTGCTTGCATGCAGGAGGTACTGGTGCACTTCACAAAATAGATGGCATCATGAGGAAGGAAAATTATGTGGATATATTGAAGCAACATCTCAACACATCAGTCAGGAAGTTAAAGCTTGGTCGCAAATGGGTCTTCCAAATGGACAATGACCCCAAGCATACTTCCAAAGTTGTGGCAAAATGGCTTAAGGACAACAAAGTCAAGGTATTGGAGTGGCCATCACAAAGCTCTGACCTCAATCCTATAGAAAATGTGTGGGCAGAACTGAAAAAGCGTGTGCGAGCAAGGAGGCCTACAAACCTGACTCAGTTACACCAGCTCTGTCAGGAGGAATAGGCCAAAATTCACCTAACTTATTGTGGGAAACTTATTGTTTGACCCAAGTTAAACAATTTAAAGGCAATGCTACCAAACAGTGGCGGCTCCTGAAAAAATTCTCAGGGGGGGCAATTTTTCTGATGATTTAGGTGACCTACACACATTTTAAAAAAGATATGTCCAGCAACAACATGAAGACAGGGGCAGCATATAAGTCAATACCAGAAGCATTTATTGACTGATCTCAAAAGTGTTGGCTTACCAGGGTTGGTGGAGCCCTCAGTTTCATCTTTGCCTCGCAAAGCTAACTCAAACACTCCGCAAAACTTCACACACTGGATTAGCCGGCTGAGGATGTGGCGGTTCTTGCTAATGTCGTAGTAAATATATTTGTTATAGTGAATATGGAATATGATATGTTGAGTAAAATGTTGTGCTAAGATCTATTTAGGTCAGGAGCTGGTTATAAGTTCTGTTCCTATCCAATAACAATGGACAAAAGGGTCCTATCTTGTCAGCCTTGTCAGCAGGTGGCCAAGGACAACACCCACGCCATAGGCCTCTCAGTTCTTCCAACTCACGAGTTCTTGCTCTGAGGACACACACACACACACACACAAACACACACAAACACACATCATCACTGTTAAACACACACACACACACACACACACACACACACACACATCATCACTGTTAACACACACACACACACAAAAATCCCCTCTCTTAGGCTGAACATTTGAAGACAGAGAACCCGACTCAGAGCCAATGCAACAGTGACACTAGCCTGGAGGTGACCTCGCCCAACTCATCAGGACCAATCAGAAGATCAGAACTACTAGATTCAACCTACTTAATTTATTGCATAAAATGTCTGCACACAATGAAACATTGTCTTCAGATAACGAACGGGTCCGTGCACGCGATTCCAGATATCTTTACCTCTGAATAAACTGCCTTTATTATACCATATCCACCCTGTCCAAAGTCTCTACTTGGTCTCAGTTCTCCAGTAAACTTGTGATTATCAACACTAACCTCATCGTTGTGGCGGCGGACAGCTAGCCTGTATCCCTCATCCAGTTGAGTGGCAATGTTCACTCCCCAAAGCAGACCATCTCAAACAGCTATCCATGTGGGTCTTTGACAGCTCATGTTTCTTAATCTTTCCTGAAAGATGGTGCATGTCCGTTACACACCAGTCGCTGTCCAAGCGGTGCTGTCTGCCGTGCCGCCTTCAGGGTGAAAGAGTAAGCAGGGGGTAGCAGAAGACTGCATTAGCTACATCGCAGCCTGCTAGCCAGGTTTTTCGTTCGTACTAATTTTTGGAAAATCCTCGGGTGTAGGACTTTCCGCCTTTAGTAGAAACCTGTTGAATTATTAAATTTGGTCTGGGAGGTCCTAATTGTTTCGTTGCCAATTTATCTTGATTTGTTCGCCGACAAAAAGTAACTTATTTCAAAGAGACAATCGAGTTGCACTGAACGCTATAGCAATCTTACCAGTAGTACGTGAATTGATTGACGCTGCTACCCGCTCTTTTCTTAGTTACGTTCATGGTTACGTTACGTTACGTATGACGAAAGCACGTAAGTGCAAGCCCTCAGAAACCCATAGAGATTGTATTGAAAGCTCTGATATTTGAAAAAAATAGATTTTACATGGGAGTCTATGACAGACTTCTGGGCGATTTTCAACCTGACTGAAATCGCCCCAAAAGGGGGGGGGGGGGGGCCATTTGAAGCACGACTTTAGCCTGATTGGACATTTAGTGGCAGATCAGACCAGACGTCTAGATTACAACACTGATAACTACTGTTGCCGTGATATAATTGATTAGAAAAAAAATCCCTTCCTTTTCCCGTTTGGCAGTGCGTCGCCCATATCGCCCTATTGAACACACCGCCCCTGCTACCAAATACTAATTGAGCGTATGTAAACTTCTGACCCACTGGGAATGTGATGAAAGAAATAAAAGCTGAAATAAATAATTCTCTCTACTACTATTCTGACATTTCACATTCTTTAAATAAAGTGGTGATCCTAACTGACCTAAGACAGAGCATTTTTACTAGGATTAGATGTCAGGAATTGTGAAAAACTGAGTTTAAATGTATTTGGCTAAGGTATATGTAAACTTCCGACTTCAACTGTAAGGTTCCAACATGATTGAAACATGAACATAATAAAACAAGTTCACCCTACTTTTCAACAGCACTTTCCTCTTTCTTACAGTATTCCATTAACATAGTATGATCATGGATGGACTGTACTGAAAAGCAATCATAAAAGAGAAGATTTAGGGGTCGTAGATTGATGAATAAGTGGGCAGTGTAAATTACCTGGATAAGACCTGAGTCAGACCCTTACACCGACCCCTCATTTCTCACAGCTCTGACTCATAGCACTATTCTACTACTCTGCCTACCCCTGGTCTCAGACTCCGCATCTGGGGGCTACAGAGGAAACTGAAGGAGGTCGAGCTGCTATTGTTAGGCTTGAGGTTATGGGAGGTGTGACAAACAACAACATGCGGGGTGTGCATTTGCCCCTGCACTGCACGTAGGGCTACAGACAACTTTCACACATCCTTCTGCACCACGACTGACAGGAAATCAAATATGCCGTGATCAGTCACCATTCACATGATGGGTGTGAAAGCGAATGCAAGGGGCATGTGGTTTTGTTCACACTGTCTACGTGACCATCATGTGTTCCTTTTTCCTATTCTACTGCGACGATGACTAGTGGTAGGCCTACTGTACATGGAAAAATTAACTGTGGGGGCAAATTTACACAGTTGGTGTTGGTGGGCTTGAAATGTTTTGAAGGGTAACTGTTTTCATACATTGTGTGGGCTGGAATAATCTAACCTTATAATAGGGTCATGCTATATACAGTGAGGGGAAAAAGTATTTGATCCCCTGCTGATTTTGTACGTTTGCCCACTGACAAAGACATGATCAGTCTATAATTTTAATGGTAGGTTTATTTGAACAGTGAGAGACAGAATAACAACAAAAATATCCAGAAAAACGCATGTCAAAAATGTTATAAATTGATTTGCATTTTAATGAGGGAAATAAGTATTTGACCCCCTCTCAATCAGAAAGATTTCTGGCTCCCAGGTGTCTTTTATACAGGTAACGAGCTGAGATTAGGAGCACACTCTTAAAGGGAGTGCTCATAATCTCAGTTTGTTACCTGTATAAAAGACACCTGTCCACAGAAGCAATCAATCAATCAGATTCCAAACTCTCCACCATGGCCAAGACCAAAGAGTTCTCCAAGGATGTCAGGGACAAGATTGTAGACCTACACAAGGCTGGAATGGGCTACAAGACCATCGCCAAGCAGCTTGGTGAGAAGGTGACAACAGTTGGTGCGATTATTCGCAAATGGAAGAAACACAAAATAACTGTCAATCTCCCTCGGCATGGGGCTCCATGCAAGATCTCACCTCGTGGAGTTGTAATGATCATGAGAGCAGTGAGGAATCAGCCCAGAACTACACAGGAGGATCTTGTCAATGATCTCAAGGCAGCTGGGACCCTAGTCACCAAGAAAACAATTGGTAACACACCACGCCGTGAAGGACTGAAATCCTGCAGCGCACGCAAGGTCCCCCTGCTCAAGAAAGCACATATACAGGCCCGTCTGAAGTTTGCCAAT